GCTGGGAATCGAACCTGGGTCCTCTGCAAGAGCAGTCAGTGCTCTTAACCACTGAGCCATTTCTCCAGCCCCCATATGACAATTAAAAAAAATTATTATTTTTTATTTTATGTGTATGCGTGTATTGCCTGCATGTAGGTAAGCGAACCTGTGTCATGCAATGCCTGTGGAGGTCAGAAGATGCTGTTGGATCCCTTGGAACTGGAGTTACGGACAGTTGTTAGCTGCCATGTGGGTGCTGGGATTTGAACCTGGGTCTTCTGAAAGAACAGTCAGTGCTCTTAACTGCTGAGCCATCTCTCTAGCCCCTCATATGACAATTTTAACCCAAACAACTCAGGATATTATGCTACTAAAATAATGAACAGAAATCTTAACAACTAAACAAAACCATTAAAAACGAATAAAATAATAAAACCCCTAACAGGTTAAACTAGTAACTGATATCCTGAAAACAACTTGGTTGTATTTTTGTTGGGAAAGGAGTGTTTGGGTCCAAATCCATCTCAGACCAACGGCTATTAAGCACTTAGTTGATACTCTGGAAGCAGGATTGCAGGACCAAATTCCTGTCTTGAGGAAGCAGTCCAACAGCGAGGCGAGATGATGTTTAATGCACCGAAGAATGCCTCAAGCCTTATAGGTACACAGCTGAGGAAAACTTAAATTTGTGTGGTGTAAGAGGAGGGTGCGACATGTTGAGTTATAGACTTGAATGAGGTCTAAACAGAGTCCACCAGAGAGAGAGAAAAGAAAAGGCATTTCAGGTGAAGGGACAGTAAGAAACAAACACTTGAATCTTAAAGACACTCAGGAGATGACTCTAAACCACTGCAAAGAATGTCTCAGAAAACCAGCTCTCAGAGGACAAAGGCCAAGGTGCAGAGGGATGTCAGTTATAGAAGTGATTTTCGGGAAATATGTGAGAATAAATGGTCATCTTTCCTGGATGAAATAATTCAAAAGACAAGAAAGATAAAGAATATTAGCTTTATTTATGTAATTTAGAAAAATTGATTGTGGTTGGAATTTGTGAAATGTTTTCCACCCTGAACACTTTACAAGAGTATTTACATACAAACGTAATAAAATAGAATATATCACATTGCTCCTGCTGATCAATTCTTCTCAGTTCCGAAGATCCCTCTGTCACTTCAGTTTGCAAATTTCACGAGGAAAAGGCACTGTTTTGACATAGTGCTAGATTCATGTGACAAATCACTGAGGTGGAAGGAAGTCAAGGATTACCAACAGAGCCAAAAATATCTTCAACAGTGACTTTATATTTCTTCATGCTAAAATATGTTCTGTTAAAAAACATTTGTATTCACTGAAGTGCTAAATTTGACATTCATATAATCCCACAGTTGATTCCAATACAATATAGATACAAATCTATATTAAACTCTCAATATGAATGCTTTCCACAAACACAATTGTAGGAACAGAGGTAAGAGAAAATCCGTCTGAGAAACAGTAAAATGCAGATGCTATATTCTATTTAAAATAAGTAAAATTTTTGTTTTGTGAACTCAACATAAACTGAAAAGATGGTAAAAGTCATGATATATACAGACATCGCATCTTTTGTCACACTGAACGGTTGAAACTGATTTTTACTATTATAGTGGATAATTCTGGACCTGGCTTCCTAATTAGCTTTCTAGTCGCTTATGTATTATTATTGTTATTGCTGTTATTATTACTTCTCTTTTTTTTTCTTTTGGAAAGCAGTCTCATCCCAGCTGGTCTGAAATCTACTATGTAGACCAGGCTGGCCCCAAGCTTTGATGCTCATCCTGCTCCCACCTCCTGAGCACTGGGATCACAGGTGTAAGCCACCATGCCTGGCTTGAATCATGTTGCTTGAGAAATCCAAGCAAGGTTGGTACTACTACTACTGAATAAGGCAGAATTTTAAATTGCAAATGGGACATAGTGCAAGTATGGATGGTTTACACTCTACTGACATCTCTATGGGTCACAGAGTTGAATATGTGAGTTGTTAAGGAAATCCATTTCATTTTTAAAGTGGTTTTAGTCAATTTAGTTCTTTAGCATTTTCCTGAAATGCCTGGCAAGAATTCTGACAGTTCCACGGCTTTATTAAACGGGAAAAAAATGTAAGTTTGCTGTCACCTGTAAAGTTAAATCAAATAGCCTCCAAGTGCACTTGTGTGGTCCACAGAGAGAAGGAAATGATCGAGTAGTATATTAAGTGCTTACTATCCCAAAAAGGCAGCATCAGAGGAAACTGGTCTTTAGCTGGATGCTTGTGTTCTTCTTCCCAGGCTTTGTGGCAGGTTCAGACGCTGGCAGTTCAGCGGTGATGCTTTCCTGATTGCCCTTCACAGCAGCCTCGAGCCGGGCTCTCAGGGCAGGGGAAGAAGCCATCACGGTTTTAAAGACCGAGGAGTACTGAGGCCCAATCTCCATGAGATTTTGCAAAGCAAAGTCATGCAAACTTCTCATTATTGCAGTGGCTGATCCCAGAGCAGTCTCATCCAAAAGGAAGGAAATGAGGATGGGCAGGAGACAGGCCACCAGTTGAGAACCTGGTGAATAGACCATGGTGGAGGTTCAGGGACATAATGTTCTTCAGCGCTACAGTGTTCCCTTAAAGCAAAACAATTCTACTCTTTTCCCTCAAATTTATACTAATATTAGCAGCTGGGATTAACAGCACACCTGTGTTTCGTGTATGTGTGCATGCGTGTGTGCTCGTGTGTGTATACACATGTGCGCGTGCGTGCGTGCACATGCGCATGAGGGAGCCAGAGGACAACCCCGAGTGCTGCCCCTCAGGAGCTGCCCACTTTAGTGTTTGCGATGGGGTCTCTCACTGGCCTGGACTTCACAGCATACGTTAGGCTGCAGCCTGTGAGCCCCAGAGATCTGTGTGTTCCTGACTTCCCAGCACTGGGATTACAAGTAAGCACTGCCATGCCCAGCTTTTACAGGGTCTCACGTAACCCAAGCTGGCTTCAAACTCACTGAGGACATTAAACTTCTGATCCCCCTGCCTCTACCTGAGTGGGAACTGCAGGTCCTGGTGTTTGAACTCAGATCATCATGCTTGCAAGGCAAGAGCTTTACTCTAAGCTAGCTCTCCAGCTCTTTTTCTTCTTTTTTTTTGGTCTTTTTGAGACAGGGTCTCCCTGTCGCCCCTGCTGGCCTGGAACTCACTATGTAGACCAGGCTGGCCTTGAACTCATAGATCTGCCTCCTGAGTGCTGGGATTAAAGGTGTGTGCCACTACATCTGGCTCTTTTTCTGCTTTAAGACAGTCTCACTCTTTAGCCCAGGCTGCCTTTGAATTCATGGTGGTCTTCATGCCTCAGCTCCTGAATGCTGGGATTACAAAGTGCGCCACCACATCTGTCACTGCCTTTTTTTTTTTTTTCTTTTTTTAAGCTTTTTGAGACAGGGTCTCCCTATATCCCTGGCTGGCCTTGATCTCACAGAGATCCACCTGCCTCTGAGCCAACACTCCAATGTGGCAATCTTATTTACTTAGTAGTCACCCCACCTTGTGCCTTAAGGGCAATAGCACTCTGCTCACTAAGTCAACAAGCTCCTGGCTCACTAAGAGTTAACAGACTTCTGTGGGTTTTGTTGATGTAGGGGCTTGAAGAGTGGAGTGTCTGTTCCCAGGATGCTGGAACCAGACTGCTCAGACACCTGTTTTCTGGACTACTGGGGACAGGTTGTCATGCCCCTCCCCGTCTTTGCATGCATCAAAGGAGGTCTGTTACTGAACCAGTCGCCACAGCCCTGGGTGAGCTGTGCTGTTTTCTTACAACAAGGGAACATTCCCATGTGTTTTGTACGACTTGAGCATTATGTAAATGCTGCGTGAACTTCGAAACCGAGCTTCCAATGGGCGTTCAGGAGGGCAGCGAGCACCAAGGCCAAGGGATTCCTGGTCTAATTTCAGTTTCTCGGCACCAGTCAAGCAGGGCATCTACATATTTATTTTATTTTATTTTTTTAGATAGGGCCTCAACAAACCTTTAGCCTCAAGAAATCCTGTTGCCCCAGACTCTTGAGGGACTGGGGCTTTTAAGGGCAGACACTGTGCTCAGCCAGTAACAGCCTTCTGATGAAAGCAAAACACAGATATATTATAGAAAACCGGAATTTTGATGCTGGAGAGGTTGAGGTGGTAGGGACTTGGTGCTGAAACTTACGATGCTGTTCTTCAGCGACGGTGACCAAAGCCTCCAAGACTTTTATGCCCTCCTGAAGGACCTGCAGCTCACTGGTGTCTTCAGGCATCCTCTTGTTGATTTCCTGCAGGTTGTCCACTATGGCAGATGCTAATGAGTAAATGTATGGGTAGGCAATGGCTGCATTTGGAGACTGGAAAATGGAATGAAGGAGCTGATAGGTTTTCATTTGCACCTAATCAGGTAAAAGACAAGAATAAATCATAAATTAAAAACATTTTAGCCAGGCGTGGTGGAGCATGCCTGGACCAAAAAAATAAAAATTTTTTTTTAAAATTTATTTTTACTTTATGTGTATGACTGATTTGCCTGCATGTATGTAAATGTACCACATGCAGGCAATGCCATGGGGATAAGAAGAGGGTGTTGGAGCCCCTGGGAGTGGAATTACAGATAGTTGTTAGCCACCACGTGGGTGCTGGGAACCAAACTTGGGTCCTCTGCAAGAGCAGCCAGTGCTCTTACCTGCTGAGCTATCTCTCCACCCCATGAACAGTAAATTTTAAAAGGACCAAAATAAATAAACAAATGTTCCTGAAAGGTCCTTGCCATTACATAGCAAAGATGTTAAATATATTTCCAGTTTATCTTTAGTTTTGGAAGGCCAAGTCCCGACAAGGAGTAGGTACTCAGAGAGGCCACAACAGTGTGGAGCGGTGCGGAGGGACACACACAGCACAGGACAGCTGTGTGCCACTTCCCCTCTGGCCCATTTTCTCTCTCATGTCCCTCTCTAATGTACAATATCAAAAGACCAACACCAACAAATACAGGCACATTTGAAAACTATTTTGTTTTCAGAAACTTTCACACATTTGATGTCCAAATGTCAAGGCCTCAAAGTTTTAAGGACCTTATCTGGCCCGCACTAAGAATGTGACATCACACCAGAGCCACCACAGGGAGCCTGTTACACAACTCACGCAGGTAGCCAGCAACGAATGGGGGTAGGACAGAAGAAAATGACTACACATCTCACACACTCCACTGTTTTCAACTGTGAGAGTATTTAAATTTTTTTTCCCCTGAGAGAAAATCTGGTTCTTATAATGGGTGTAAGACGTATTTGTGAGTATGGGCTCCAAACTCATTTTGTAACACATGGAATGAAGGAAATTAATCTAATCCATCCTTCTTTTCTTTCCTTTATTTTTTCTTTGAAGAAAATCCTTTAAAGGCTGTAAGTCACAAAGTAAAAAAAAAAAAAAAAAAAAAATCCCTTGTTGGAGAGCCATGTGAATACAAGTTTTAGAGTGACACCATTTTTTTTTAGACCTGGTCTCACTGTGTAGCCCTGGCTGGCCTGGAACACATTATGTAGAACAGGCTGGTTTTACACTCACGGGCAAGCTCCTTCCACCACTCCTGGTGAGCTGCACCAGTGTTAAGATATTCTCATTTAAAATCTAGTTTGGTTTTACTTGTTTTCTGAGACCAGGTCTCCTGCAGCCTGGCTGGCCTCAGACTCACTGTGCAGCTGCAGATAACCATGAACTTTGATCCTCCTGCCTCTACCTATCTAGTGCTGGGATTACAGCCTGCACCTCCATGCTGGGTTTGCACAGTGCTGAGGACTGGACCCAGGGCCTGCACACTCTAGCCCCCTGGTAGTTCCTTGCTGGAGCTGATGAAACCACAAGGAACTGCTTACGTTGGCAGCACATACACTAAAATCACAGAGAAAACCTCTGCAAGGCTAACATACTCCTCCTGCAAACCTCTCCTCACCATGGGGTCCTTGAGCTTGAGGGCGGCCTTGAATTTCTCAACGCAGAGCTTGTGAAGGCCGGGGGCAGCGGCCACTTCTGGACCCGTGGACAGAATGAACACTGTGACGGCAGTAAGCAGGCTGACATCATCGAGTTCTTGCTGTGCCCCATCAACTAGAGAGAAGTCACGATTAGAGCGGATCACACTGCTTTATGTCTCTGTAGAGCTGTCTTTAGTTTGGCTGGCAACCTTTGTGTGTGCATACAACACGTGCAGACCGTAATACCAGCCGACTCTTAAAGGCCCCAGGAGGCTGGGATGTGGCTCTGTGGTAGGGTACTTGCCTAGGTAACATGCAGGTCCAAGCACCTCTAGAGGTGCTGGGGGACCACCCTAGCAAATACTTAACACTACTGGACCTTGGTCATGTAAGTCTATCTTCAGTGTTCTCATTTGAAAATTGGGCATAAGGACAGAACTCATATTGACTGGGATATTGATTAAATGAGTTCATCTATGTGTAGCAAATAGAATACATACTGCATGGAGTTCTCAGATTGTATTGGTTATTTATTTTTTTTAATTTTTAAATTTTTATTTTTTGTCTTTTTGAAGCAGGGTCTCTCTGTAGCCCCAGCTTTCCTGGAACTCACTATGTAGACCAGGCTGGCCTTGGACTCACAGAGATCCGCCTGCCTCTGCCTCCCAAGTGCTGGGACTACAGGTGTGCGCCACCGTGCCCGGCTAATGTATTGGTTATTTATTATGCCATTATTTTTTGTTTTGTTTTTGAGACAGAGGCTGGCTATGTAGCCCTTTGAGCTCCAAGTCTCACTGGGTCCTCCTGCCTCATCCTCTTGAATAGCTGGTGCATACCACTATTTGTAGCCTATTATTATTATTACCATTGTTTTACTGTATAATTGAAATGCTTGGGTAACTGCTTTGTTCTTTTTAATTTTTAGGAATTTTCTTAATATAGGTGTCAGATATCACACCTTAGGACTCTGTTCACACGTGTCATTTCTCAAACGTAGAGAAAAGTCTGGAAAGAGCTGTGGAGGGCACAGCTGCTGTTTGAAGGAATTGTCTTTTCTTTTATTGAGGGTTTGACAGGGTTTCATGTAGTTCAGGTTGACCTAATACCTGCAATGTAACTAAGAATGACCTTGAATTTCTGATCCTACCTCTCCTTCCCAAGTGCTGGAATTACAGGTGTGTGTTGCCATGCTTAGTTCATGTGATGCTGGGAACTGAACTCATGGTTTCATGCATGCTAGGCGAACACTCTACCAAATGGACCCTATCTGGCCCCTTCTTTTTTTTGGTCTTTTTGAGACAGGGTCTCCTGTAGCCCCAGCTGTCCTGGAACTCACTATGTAGACCAGGCTGGCCTTGGACCCACAGAGATCCGCCTGCCTCTGGCTCCCAAGTGCTGGGATTAAAGGCGTACACCACCACTCCCGGCCCTAGGCCTCTTTTTGTGTAGACAAGGTTTCATTATACATCCCTGGCTGACCTGAAACTCACTATACACACGAGGCGGCTTCAAACTTTCAGTGCTCTTCCTACCTGACCCCTCCTTAATACTGAGGTTAGGGTTACAGGTGTATCCACCAGCCCAGCCTAGGAATTCTCTATGAGAAGTAATTTACCTTCATTTTCCAAAGTGAAAGTCTAATAATTTTAATGAAAACTGTTATTTTGAAAGGGAAAGGTGGGGCAAACTCAACTCATGAAACTTTTTTTTTTGTAGTAGTTTTTTTGGCTTTTGACTAAGATCAAGTCAGTATATATGTTTTATATGTACAGATCCACACACACATATATTTTTGTGTATACATACATACAACAAATTCATACAATAAACACTAACAAACTTTTAAGAATCCCAGAGGGGCTGAGGATATAAAAATATGTATTTGTTGGTTTGTTTTTGATTCTGAGACAGGGTCTCATGTGGCCCAGGCTGGCCTCCAATTTGATCCTCCTGTGTGCACTCCTAAGTACTGGCATTACAGTCTTGTGCCACGTCTAGTTTATAAGGTGCTGGGGACCGAAAAACCCAGGGCTTTGTGCATACTAGACAAGCACTTTACCAACTGAGCTATATCCCCAGCCCCTCAAATGGGTTGTTATTTATAAACAAATGATACCCACAAACAGCAACACTGGTCATAATTCAGTAAATACTTAAATTCTATGTGCTGGTCCTCTTCGGCACTGATAGTATAGCATACAGAGAAAATAAATACACTATAAAATGAGAAGCAAATAAAGAATTTAAAAACATACTGATAAAACCCTAGAAAGCCTCACTCTCTGTGAGTTCAAGGCCAGCCTGGTCTACATAGCGAGTTCCAGGACAGCTGGGGCTACAGAGAGACCCTGTCTCAAAAAGACCAAAAAAAAAATAATAATAATATTTTTTATTTCATGTGTATGAGTGTATTGCCTGCATGTATGTGAGTGTACCTGTGTCATGCAATGCCTGAGGAGGTCACAAAATGGCACTGAATCCCCTGGTGGACAGTTGTTGACCATGGGGGGGAGCTGGGACTCAAACCCAGGTCCTCTGCAAGAGCACCCAGTGCTCTTACCTGCTGAGCCATCTCTCCAGCCTCTCATTTCCTCCATTTTATGTGTAAGAAACAGAAATGTGGGTATTTGTCCGAGCCACACAAAGTCAGGCAGACAGTTTGATCCAAGACAGTATCACCAACCCAGAGGCTATATTGCTGCCTCTACAGCAAAGTTATTTTTAGTCATTTAGGGCAACTTGAAACTTCGGCACACTCAGCTAGTTAGTTAGTTAGTAAACATACCTGTTTAATTGCATTAAGATAAATACCTCCTGGTTCCTCTTCCCATGTTGTCTAAACTCACTCCCCCGTATTTACTGAGGATGAGGACAGATGAGAAGTTTGCATAGCAATCCCCCTATGGTGAGGCCTATGTGGTAAAGAACAGGCCCCTTGCCAACAGCTGCCTGAGTGAGTCATACTGGAATCCAGTCCTCTAGCTGAGGCCCTGGCCAATGTCTTAGCAGTAACTTCATGAGAGACTTGAGCCACACCTCTTAAGGCTAAGCCCTGGGCCATAGAAACTCTCAGATTAAAAAAGAAAAATGTTTTCTGTTTTAATCCACTAAGTTTTGGAGCAAAATAAATTTTTTTGAGATAGGGTCTAATGTAGCCTTGACTGGCCTCGAATCACTATGTAACTGAGGATGACCCTGAATTCCTGATCTTTTTTTTTGTCTTTTTGACACAGAGTCTCCCTGTAGCCCGAGCTACCCTCAAACTCACAAAGATCCGTCTGCCTCTGCCTCCCACGTGCTGGGACTAAAGGCTTGCACCACAATGCCTGATCTCACAGCAAACATTTCATCTATCATGATCAGCACCAACTTTAATTTACCTGAGTAGTTAGTCTAATGGCTAACTCCTGACTTGATATACAACACCTGAGACCCAAAACTACTTGTGTGTGAGATGAAACCCAAATTCTCTTCCTCCCTTCTTTCTCCCTTCCTCCCTCTCCCACTGGCAGAGGTTAACATTTTCAAAATGTATTGTAGTTTTATTCCATCCTGTCTCAACTGGACTGTTGCTTTCGTCACAATAATCCCAACTCCAGTACATTCTCCACTTTCCTTTTTTTTTTCTGTCTTTTTGAGACAGGGTCTCCCTGTAACCCCAGCTGACCTGGAACTCACTATGTAGACCAGGCTGGCCCAAACTCACAAAGATCCACCTGCCTCTGCCTCCCGAGTGCTGGGATTAAAGGCATGTGCCACCACTCCCGGCCCTCCACTTTCTTTTTGAAAAATTATTTATTTTATGTGTATGAGTGGTTTTTCTGCATACACGTAAGTGCATCCTTGTGTACAATGCCCATGGAGGCCAGGAAAGGGCCTCCAGATTGGGAACTGTAGTTATAGTTACAGATCACTACGGCTGGAACTGTAGTCAAGTACAGTTAACTGCCACGAACTGAACCCTGGTGCTCTTAACCACTGAGCCATCACTCCAGCCCTCTCCACCTTCTTTTATCTCTTAAGTAGGAACTTACAGTAGATTCTCATCTTTGAAAATGAAACATTCCTGGCCAGGTGCAATGGCACTGGCCTGTAATCCCAGCACTCAGGAGGTTTAAGACGATTCTGAGTTCAAAGCAATCCTGGGCTACATACTGAGACTGTCTCAAGGACAAACAAAGCCAAACCTTGACTCTGTCTATACCTTTCCTCCTGCTGTTTCTCCTCTTCCTGGAGGGCAGCCCGTCTGTAACCTCTCCTCCTCTTCAGCTTGTTTGCACTTCAACACTCCCTGCTCATCATTCTATCACAACTCTTTCTCTGGCTTCTGTCACTGCATTATCTTTTGAATCACTTCCCATCTTGATCTTGGTACTCTTCAAATTGAGCAAATTATGCCAATTAAAAATAGGACAAAAGCCGGGTATGGTGGTGCACACCTTTAATCCCAGAACTCGGGAGGCAGAGGCAGGCGGATCTCTGTCAGTTCAAGGCCAGCCTGGTCTACATAGTGAGTTCCAAGACAGCTGGGGCTACAGGGAGACCTTGTCTCAAAAAG